AAATTACTCCTGCATGGAGGACAAGGGCACTAGAGGGTGCAATGACACCAGGAAACACCAAGCCAGGCTCCTGGGGGACCCTAGTACTGTCCCCAGCTGTATGAACCCAGGAAAGGCACAAACCCTTTTTATGCTTCTACCAATCAGACTTCAAAACAGCACAGTCCTAGCTTGCCTTCAAAGCCCCTCATTCAGTGCCTCTCTCTGGATAGGGAAAACCTCCCAGACCCTCCTCACAGGCGCTCCCTGAGGATGTACTTGGCATGTATCCAGCCAGTTTTCCCCTCCCTTCTCTGAGGCTGTTTCTCTGCTTGAAAACAGGACACAAATCCCCCAGAAGGCTTGCTGAAGAGATCAAATGAGATCATGCAAGCAAAACACCCAGCACAGAGCCCAACAATAACAGGGACCAGGAGACCTTTCTCTGTGCATCTCTTCCTCCTCCAAGAAGCCTTCCCAGATTAGGCTGCTAGGTCCGAGGGCTACAATAAACCTCCATTACACCCCTGAACAAACATCCAGCCCCAGCTGGGAATGCTCCCTCCGGGTGGGCGCCCCAGCAAAGGCAGGAAGCAAGGGCACATGTGAAGAATATTTAAATGGAACGTCCACAAAAATAGAAGGAAATTTAAGAAAACAAGGAGTACCAGGAGCCAGGGGAGAAAACAGTTCTGAGGAGGAGGAAGGGCAAGTAGGATGAGGCCTAAGAAGCGTCCCTCAGTTAAGGGGAGAGCCAGAGCACAAGCACTCAGACCCAGGCAGTCCCTGCTCCCCACAAGCTCGTCACCCGAGGCTCCTGTTTCCTACACACGCTACTTCCTGACTCCAGAACATAGCCTGATACACCCCCCACAGTATCTCATACTTCCAGGCCCCACCCTGAACTCTAGACTTCCTCCCACACTAACTGCTGTCCCTGGGTCCCCAGATAGTGATGGCACCGTTGTCCACCCAAGATGGAAACCTGGATGCTGTTGTGGCTCCCCATGTCCTCTCCACTCACACCCTGGCTGTCCTTAAGTCCTGTCCACTCCAGAAACAACATCTCACTCCAATCTGCCTACTTCTCTCACACTGTCTGAGTGGGGGGGACGGGAGGGAGGCCTCACCTGGCCCAGTGCCTCCTCCCCCATCAACCTCATCAGCAGCCAGATCCTTTTAGCACTCAGCTTTCAGCAGATCATTCTGCTTCAAACCTTCCTGGCTGTCAACCTGGCCTTCATAACACAGCCCACCAGCACCATCCACAAGCCTCACCCTCACTCACCCAACAGTTAAGTACAGTGTCTGCCCAGAGCAACCTAGAAGGTGCTTCCCACCTGGGCTTTGCACATGCTGTTCTTCCACTCAAGTGCCTTTCTTACTGCAGTGCCAAAAGCCACAAACTGCCCTAACCAGTTTGGCTCAGTGGATAGAGTGTCGGCCTGTAGACTGAAAGGTCCCAGGTTCGATTCCGGTCAAGGGCATGTACCTTGGTTGCAGGCATATCCCCAGTAGGGGGTGTGCAGGAGGCAGCTGATATTTCTCACTCATCAATGTTTCTAACTCTCTATCCCTCTCTCTTCCTCTCTGTAAAAAAATAAAATATATATATTTTTAAAAAGCCACAAACTCCCCCTCCACCCTCTAGGATCCTCTGCGATCCTCTGCCCATGTACCTCCTTCCGTGGACAGCATCCACTCACCTCACGGATGGACGGGGGTGCACAGTGCGAGGGGGCACAGGTGGAACACTTAACTCTGCCAAATGGCGCTTGGCAGGCAGCGGGGGCAGCGCAGGGGGCAGCGCAGGGTCTGGGACAGCTGTGGAAGGGGTAGAGAAGCAGGCAGGAGGAAGGCAGCTCCTCCGGGGTGGGATAGGTGGGGCAGTGGGTAGTCCCTCATCCTCTCTGGTCGTGGGCAGTGGCTCAGGTGGAGTGGTGGGTGAGGGCAGTGGGCGGAAGACATTACGCTTCCTGGGCACGGGCCGTGGGGTAGGGCGGGGTGCTGGGGCTGGAGGTGCATGAGCACGGAGCAGGCCAGCCAGGATGCGGCGGCGGTGGCCAGGCAGTTGTACACCCATGTCCACCAGGCGGGCATCGCTGAGGCCTTGGCAATCTGTGGCCCGCACCAGTCCATGATGCTCAAAGAGCACGGTGTACTGCTCCAAGTGCAGTGCCTGCAGCCACTCAGCCACTGACAGTGCTGCATCCCCAGCCTCTGTCATGGTTCCCGCCAGCAGGGCTCTGTCCAGACCTGGAATAGACAGATGGGCACGGGTCAGAGGCAGCAGCATGGCTTCCCAGGTATAGCTCCCCAACCAGCTTCCTTCTATGGCTCTCCCATGCCATGGGGTTGAGCTCTATCTTTGAGCTTTCTCCCCTATGCCGCATGTGCCAGGCAAGGCCAGGTACTGCCAGGTCTCTGAACACATAGGCTTTTCCCTCTACCTGAAACCAGGCACCCCACCCCTGTGGCTGCCTAACACCAAGTTCATGTCTCCTCTAGGGGGCCTTCCAGGACCTCCAGAAATGGTACCACCCTTCACCCCTATCCACAGCCTCAGCCACAACTGCAAGGCTGGCCAATGATTGCGCATGCGCGCATAGCGCACACAACACACACACACACACACACACACACACACACACACACACACACACTTCCTCCCTCTGCAAGACCTAGGTAAAGGCCCAATTCCTTCTGAGGCACCAGTTCCCAGCTGAGAGCTAGGCCCAGGGGCTTAGCAAGTATGGGGGGATTGAAGGATACCAAGGGCTGGTCCCCCAGCAGGCCTAGACTAGGGGTTGAGCCTCCCCCCATCTGCATGCCCCTGGAGGAAGTAGAATGCCCAGGAGGCGAGTCAACCCAGCATCACACAGCCTGTGGGGTCCTCCCACTACCAAAGGGGAAAGGAGTAATGTATATAGGAAAGGCCATTCATTCATTTGTTCATTCAAAATAGTCTTGCACTGGGCAATGGGGACTCAGGTCCCATCCCTGAACTCAAGAGCTCCTGACAGGGCAAGAGCAATAAATATTTGACGCAGAGATGATTAACAGATCAAACAGGAAAAGTCATCTGATCATCTCCACAGACACAAAAGAGGCATATGATAAAACTCAATACTCAGGGTACTTAAACAAATAAAAATCGTACTAAAATAAAAATAGATTGATACTTAACTAAAACAAACATCAGCATCTTGCTTAATGGAAAAACAATAGAAAAACTTCCTTTAAAGTCAGAAATGAGACAATGATATCCATTTCGCTACTACTGTTATTATTGTTATTCACATTGCTCTGCAAGTTCTAGAGACTAAAAATAAATAAAAAGTGGGAAGAAGGCGCTGGCCAGGTAGCTCAGTTAGCTAGAGTGTTGTCCCGATATGCCAAGGTTACAGGTTCAGATCCCTGGTCAGGGCACACACAAGAAGCAACCAATGAATGCATAAATAAGTGGAACAACAAATCGATGTTTCTCTCTCTCCCTTCCTAAGATCAATAAATAAAAATTTTAAAATAAATAAATAAAAGTTGGGAAGATATAAACAACCTATTAGTTACCAATAATATGAATTCTGAGTTGGAAAATCCAAGAAGCTCAACTGAGAAACTATTACAAAAAATAAAAGAATTTAATAATATGATTGGGTTCAAAAGTGATATAACAGAAATCGAAACTTATAAGCAATAACCAGGTTAAAACCAGGATGAAAGTCCCCATTTACAATAGCATCACAAAATATAAAACACCAATAAACTTCATGAGAAATGGGCATGATCTGTAGGAGGGAAAATTTGGAGTGTTACTGAGAAGCGAAAAGAAGACCTGGACAAATGGAAAAATACAGTATGCTCCCAGGCAGAAGACAGCATAAAGATAGAACTCTCTCTCATTTATAAATATGCACAACCCTATAAGTACACATGGGATCTTTTATTTAGCTAGACAAGCTGACTTGAAAGTCCATGTGGAAAAAACAAGCAAGCAGGAAGATCCAGAAAAATTTTGGAAGCAGAGGGTGAGGGAAAGGAAGAGTAAAGAGTAAGAATCAGCCTCACCACATATTAAAACATATAAAGTCATGGTTATTAAAATAGTACAGACAGCCCTCCATATTTTCAATCCACTGTTGCAGAGAGCTGACTGCATGCATTAATTAATCTATGCCACTTTAAATAAGAGACTAGCGCATCCGTGGATTTTGGTATCCACGGGACCCATTCCTCATGGATACAGAGGGATGACTGTACATGTTACCAGCATCTTGACAGATCAATTAAACAGAACAGAACATTTAAAAATAGACCCAACTACATATAAGAATTTAGTATACAATAAAAGGAATTCAAACTAGATGGATTATTAAGTTGTTGGGAGCAATCTAGAAACAAACTAACTTGGACTCCTACCTTACTACGTACAATAGGACCAATTACAGAAGGATCAGAGTTTTGATTATAAAAAAATAAAACCATAAAAGGATTTTAAAAATCATCGCAGAGAGCAAAAGCCTTTTGGAAATGATACAGACCTAGAAGAATTTTTAAAAAAAAGTGAAATATTCTACTATATAAAAATCAAACATTCCTGCGTGATAAAAAAAACACCCTAAGCAAAGCCAAAAGAGAAAAGACAAACTAGGAGATATCTGCCATTCACATCCCAAACACAGGACTAACTTTCCTAAAAACTAAAAAGCACCTAAAAATAAGAAACAGGCCCAGGCACCGTGGCTCAGTGGTTGAGGTCAACCTATGAACCATGAGATCATGGTTCGATTCCTGGCAGGGCACATGCGACCTCTATCCCCAGTAGGGAGTGTGCAGGAAGCAGCCAATCAATGATTTTCTCTCATCATTGATGTTACTATCTTTCTCTCCCTTCCTCTCTGAAATCAATAAAAATATTTTTTAAAAATAAAGAAACAGGTCAATAACCTAAAAAAGAAAAATGGGCAAAGGATATGAACAGAGAAATTCACAGAAAGGGAAATATAAATGGTTCTTAAAGAGGTGAAAAGAACGACACCTCCCCGTACTCAGTGGTGAGAGGTGAGGCATTCCTCTCCTGGAAGGCTAGAATGCCTCTGGAAGGGCAAGGCCACAGCAGGTGTGGAAACCACAAGTACTTCTGCCCTTGACCCAGCCATTCTTAGACACTTATCCTGCAGTCTTACTGGCGCATATCCAAAGACAAACAGAGACGGTTATGACTATACACTGTGTAAAACAACAAAAGGTTAGAAATAACCAAAACATCCATAAGCCAGAGAATGGTTAACTAAATTATGCTGTAGTCATACAGCAGAATACTGAGCAACTGTACAAAAAGAGGAAACTCCTTCTTATCAATATGAGACCTCCAAGATATGTTGCTAAGTGACTAAAGAACAATATAAAACAGTATACATAAGTTCTGCCTTTTATGTGAAAGAAAAACGAGGGAATAGATCAGTATGCATCTACTAGTAAATGCAGAAAATATCTCTGAAAAGATACATAGGAGACAAGGTTGCTTAGACCCTAAGCCTGGTTGCCTCTGAGAAAGAAAAATGAAGGCTGAAAGGCCAGGAGGGAGCAGATCGAAAGCCAGACTTCTTGGGACCTGAAGCTTATCCAATTCAGATGTTTTCTTTAAGAATACAAAATATCTTACTTATCATTTCACAATATATATAAATACTGAAACACTGTTGTATGCCTGAACCTAAAATAAGTGGTGTGTCAATTATATCCCATTTAAAATTTTCTTTTAATAAAAAAAAGAAGAATATCTTACTTTTGTAAAAATGTACAAGAACACATGACCACGGGCACACACGGCCCGGGCCCCTCCCTGGGTCTTGGAAGGAGCCTGAAGATCAAGTTCCATCAACTCCCTGAGACCCACCTCTGGCTGATGGGGAGCCTTTCCACGCCACAACTTTTCTCTCACCTAAATGTTTAACTATGCAAATATTTTTTAAAGGTTACTGAGGGACCAAAGAAAGACACAAACAGAAACACATTCAATGTCTTAGATAAGCCAGCTCTCAACATTATAAAGACATCAGTTCTTCCAGAATTAATTAAACTATGACTAGCACAATCCCAACTAAAATTACCCAGAGTCTAAAGTTAATATAAAATAATACCAACGATTTATTGTTAAGTGAAAAAGCAAGGTGCAGAAAAGTGTTTTATAATGTAAAACTGTTTTATAGGAAAATGTATATGAAAAAATGCTCAACATCACTAGTTATCAGAGAAATGTATATCAAAACCTAATGAGACAATCACCTCACACTTGTTAGAATGGCTATTATTAAAAAGGCAAGAAATGACAAGTGCTGGAGAAGAGGGAAACCCTGTACACTACTGGTAGGAATGTAAATTGGTGCAGCCACTATGGAAAAAAGTATGGAGGTTCCTCAAAAAGTTAAAAATAAGACTACCACATGACCCAGCAATTCCTCTTCTGGGTATTTACCCAAAAATATGGAAACGCTTATTCGTGAAGGCATATGTACCCCTATGCTCACTGCAGCATTATTTACAATCGCCAAGACATGGAAACAACCTATATGTCCATCATGGATGAATGGATAAAGATGTGGTAGATATGTACAATGGAACAGCACTCAATCATAAAAAACAGGAAGTATGCCATTTGTGACAACATGGACGAATCTTGAGAGTATTATGCTAAGTGCAGTCAGAAGAAAAAGGACAAAAACTGTTGAATTTCACTCATGTGAAATATAAAAACCTAACAAAGCAAAGTCATAGATACAGACAACAGAATGGTGGTTACCAGAGAAGGGGGTGTGGGGAGGGTGAACCGGGTAAAGGGGGGTCAAATATATGGTAATGGGTGTTGAGCATGCAATAGAGTATATAGATATCAAAACATAATGGTGTACACCTAAAATTTATGTAATTATAAATTAATTATATAGTTCACCAATGTTACCTCAATAAGTTGAAGAAAAAGGAAAGGCATATTTATATAGCACCATACACACAAAAATACCTCTGGATGGGTTTGCAAGAAACTGCCTTTGCAGAGCAGTACTGGCAGCTTGGAGGACAAGAGAGGGAAAGTTACCTTTCACTAAATCCTCTGTATCTTTTTAATTTTGTGCCATTTTTCAAAAATATGAATACAGTTTAAAAGATAACGTGATCATCTGGGAATGAGAAAGATGGTAACTCGCCAGGCACAGAAGGGAATCCAATATGCAGATATACAGATACACACACCCACACACTCACAAACACACACCCCACCCGATGGTCCCTGTCCCCCCCACCTTTCACAGCCCTCCTGGGAGGCTCTTCTCAAGGTCTCTGGGCCTCACCCTCTCTCTGCCTCTCAACCTCAGTTTTCAAAGTGGACAATGGGACCTCAGGTCTTGCCTCCATGAAGCCTACTCCCCGACCTCAATGTTGGGGCTCAGCCTGCCACAACCAGCCCCCTTCCCCTCCCCATTTTCCGGCTCACCTGCTGGGCTGCCCAGGACACTGGTCCTCCCAGTTACTCTGAACAGCTGCTCATCTTGGCCTGAGGTGGGAGCTGCAAGGACAGGAACAGAAGAGAAAGTCCATGAGGGTAGGCCACGTGGAACAGAGAGATGCCAGAAGGAGGAGGGGGAGATGAGAAGGGAACGGAGGATGAAGGGAAGAAGGCTGAGGAAGAAGGGGGAGAGGGATGGGGAAAAGGAAAGAGAGGGAAGAAAGTGAGTTGTGTTCAAAAGTAATATAACAGAAATCGGTAGTTATAAGCAATAACTACCAGATAAAAACCAGAATGAAAGACACCATTTACAATAGTATCACAAAATATAAAACGCCAATAAACTTCAAGAGAAATGTGCAAGATCGGTAGGAGGGAAAACATTGAGCATTCCTGAGAAGCAAAAGGAGACCTGGACAAATGGAAAGACATAGAAGAGGGTAGAGGAAGAGAAAGGAAAGAAGGGAAGGGTTTAGGCAGCCTAACAGAAGCCAGGCCTTCCAGCGGGGGTGAGGAGGCAGACACAGGCCTGCCCAGGGGTACAGGCCACACAGGTGGTAAAGGGGAGTCAGGCTCCTCATTCTCTGGCCCTCCACAAGGACCCATGGCTGGGATGTGTAGGGGACGTAGGGGACGGGCTGTGATAGAAACTACTCATGGCCAGGAGCTGACTATCCCCAGGGAAGACATGGGGAGGGGGTAATGCAGCTCCATAACTGAGCCAGTTCCTCCCCACAACGCAGAGCCTGCCAGAGAGAGGTGGGGGACCCTGGGGAGACCCAGGGAGGCAGGGCCCTCTCCACTAAGCCTGCAACTGAGGCAGGGGCAAGAGAGCCCAAGGGCCTGTTCCTAACCATGGGTGGGGGCCAGAAGAGGTGTTCCAGCCAAGAGAAGCTAACAAGCCACCCCTGAGGGCAGGCACCAGCAAGCTCAGATGGCCGGCTTGGTTCAGGAAGGCGGTGGAATGGGCAGGTCCTGGGCAGAACCACCTTTCCTGCCGCTAAGGCAGGGCCAAGGCAAACTGCTGGGCTCTGCACGGTGGCTTTTAATGTACTAGGCAGGTATTTATCTCATGTAGACTCCACAATTATTTCTTAGGATGAAGCTAAAATAGGGATATATTTTAAAAGTAAGTATTTTAAAAATAAATTTTAAGTAATTAGTACTTCAAATATTGAGTTGGCAAAAAAATGGCAATGCCTCTCAAATGATGATTTAAAAAAAGAATAATAGACAACATAAATAGTCCTTACTGTATGCCAGATACCTAATCACTTATTATTTTTTTTAATCCTCACCTGAGGATATTTTTTCCATTGACTTTTTTAGAGAGTGGAAGGGAGGGAGTGAAGGAGAGAGAGAGATGAGAAACATTGATGTGAGAGAGACACATCAACTGGTTGCCTCCTGCACACACTTGGCTGGGGATCGAACCTGCAACCCAGGTATGTGCCCTTGACCGGAATCCTTCGGTCTCCAGGCCAATGTTCTAACCAGTTAGCAATACCAGCCAGAGCCCTAATCACTTTTTATTAACTTATTTAATCCTCACAGCAACCTTATAAAGTATATACTTCATACTTTAAGATGAAGAATCAGACGAGGCACAGAGAAATTAAATAACTTGCCCAAAGTCACACAGCTAGGAAAGGGGCAGCTTGAATATAGTATAGACAAGACAGTAGCCAGTAGCAGCCACATATGGCTACTGAACACTCAAGATGTAGCTGCGTAATGAAGTGTGCTGCATTAAATACACACTGGGTTTTGAAGACTTAGTACAAAAAGCAAGAATATAAATATATCATGGGGGAGAAAGGGGAACCTATGTAATATTTTCAACAATAAAGATTTTTTAAAGAATATAAATATCTCAATAAATTTCTATTACATAATAGGATTACTACACTATTTTGGCTATTTGAATAAAGTATATTGTTAACGTCATGTTATTTGAATAAAGTATATTATTAACTTCATGTTTCTTTTTAATGTGCACCAGAAAAAGTTAAATTGCACTTATAGCTCAAATTATATTTCTGTTGGATAGTGCAGCTGTAGACTCTCAACCTCGCTGCTCACTGCCTCTCACAAAGTGAGGATAAACATTAACTGAGCCCCTGCTCTGTAGGTTGGGCCCTATTCTAAGGCTTCAACATGGATTGATTGATGATGATCCCAACCACCCTAAGGGAATGAGCAGGGCCGGAAAACAGGAACCCACTTCTGTCCCCGCAAAGGGCCCAACCCCATCTTGGGCCTCTCTCAACTTCCCATTCTTACACTAAAGGCTTCACATCGAGGTCCGGCTCCAGGACTTCACACTCACAACCTTCTAGGACAGCTTCATTCAGGGCACTGGACGCATGAGCCAGACCTCAGACCTACCCTACAGGAACCTCAGGCTGGAGGGGGTCAGATAACACCCAGTCAGTGGAAACAGCTTACATGTCCCTCACCAGGCCAGGGGTCAGGGAAGGCTTTCTGGAGGAGGCAGCTCCTTTAAAAAAAAAAAAAGTTTATAGCCGTACCTTTCTGAGCCATGCTAGAGCCTGAGGCAAAGAATGAATCGCCAATACTGAACCTCTTTATTTAAAATTTGGATATTTTGCCCGGCCGGCATGGCTCAGTGGTTGACCCTTGACTTATGAACCAGGAGGTCACAATTTGATTCCAGGTCAGGGCAGGTCAGGGCACATGTCCGGGTTGCGGACTCATTCCCCAGTGTGGGGCATGCACGAGGCAGCCAATCAATGGTTCTCTCTCATCATTGATGTTTCTATCTCTTTCTCCCTCTCCCTTCCTCTCTGAAATCAATAAAAATATATTTTAAAAAAATAATAAAATAAAATTTGTATATTTGGTTTATCTTGGACTTTTTCATTAATATTGCTTTAAAAATATATTATTTATCTTTATTTCTTAACTTTTTTGCGCACCCCCCTCATTTTGCACTGGAGGCAAGTGCCTCACTTGCTCCACCCTAATCCTGAAACATCCCCCGCCCCAGGTTTAAGCCCTCCAGCTGCTATGACATATGACACATGACTGAGTTTCCACCCCCAGGGAAGCAGGGACCAGGGCAGAGGGGAGCGTCATCCTGTTGTGACAGCATAGCTAAAAGCTGGGGGGTTCCCCTCCTTTCCCACCCAAAAACCCAACTCAGGTTTCAACACCCCACCACTCCACCCTGCCCCTGCTTCTCCCCTGTCTCCCTCCAGCACCTCTCTGCTGTGCCAACCCCCGTCCCACCCCTGCTCAAAGCCCTTCTGTGTTCCCCATGCCCTCAAGTTCAGCTGCTTGTCCTGTCATTGGACCTACTCCAGCTCTGACGTTTACAGATGAAGAAACAAACACCCACAGGGAGGAAGTGACTTGCCCAAGTTGCCCGTGACATGCCCCGAGCCCCCAGCCAGCTGAGCTGGCCCACGACTCCCTCCACTTCACTTTTTTGCATCAGGCACCAGCTTGGCACTGGGAGCCCCCCAAATTTTCCCCACTTTCAGGCACTGATTCCAGACTGCCTCCTCCGGAGTTAGTCAGGCCTAGGGCAGGGCAGCCTTGAAGGTCCTACGCCTTCTGCACTCAGCACTCCTAGACCACCCTCAGGCTCTTAGGACTTGGAAACTGGGCCATGCAGCTCAGAACTGCTTTTGCTCTATCTTTGGTTGTTCCATTGGTGGGGGTCCATCTCCACCCAACCTACAACCTGACCTGGGGTGCCCTTGTAAGTCTACACCCCTTCTTGTGCCCCTTGCCCTCCACTATAGAGCTCACGACCTGACTGGGTTCACAGGGCACTCAGTCCAAAGGTAAGTAAGGGTCATCTGGAATCTCTAATTCTTGGCAGCCAGTCCTTTTTTAGGTCTGGCCTGAGTCCCTCTTACTGAAGCAAAAGCTGTGACCCTTCTGTCCTCTACTATTTCAACCCCCGAGGGCAGAGTTAAAATCTCACTGCTCCTTCTCTGACCCAGCCCAGCATCTCCCCCGGCACCATCCCTGGCCACTACTGACGAGGGACACCAATTCCGACAATCTAGCAGGAAAGTGGCCCAGAGCTCAAGGACAGGTAACTCCTGTCTCCTTCACTTTCTAAGTGCCCACTTCATGCCCAGTCCCTGCCAGTTTCCCACCTTCATCCCAGTCTCCTCAAACAATCCCAAGGCCTGGTATTTTTACCCCATTTCATGGAGGCTGTGTGAGGTGGAAACTCGCCGAGGTCACTTGCTAGGGCCAACAGGGCCTTCAGGAGATGTGACCACTTCTATCTGGTGGATTCGGCAAGGCTTCCAGAGGGCACTCCTGAACTGGGCCTTGCAGGATACATAGGAGGTTGCCCTTCCAAGCAAAGGAAACTGAGTGTGCAAGGCCAAGGGATGGGACTGGACCTGACAGATGCAGAGGCGGGAGATTTCAGTGGAGCAGGAACAGGAAATGTGAAAAGATAGTAGTGACACCCAGAGAGGTTTGGGGACCCTCCCTTGGGTGGCCACAGAGCCTGCTGACCATGAGGATGTCAGCATCCACTGCACTCTGATTTGCATGAGTTAGGCCTAGGGCAGGGCAGCCTTGAAGGTCCTACCCCTCAGTCAAGACCCTTCCTCGATTGCATCTTCAGATCCCCCTCTACACAGAGCTGTAGAGGGAGGCCCAACGGTGTGGGAGAGCAGAAGAGGGAAAAGGCAGGCCCAGGGGTCCAGACTCGAGGCCTGAGCTTACCTCCCCCTCCCCCCCCCTCCTGCACAGCCCTCCCCCTCATACACACACACACACACACACACACCAGGCAGGTTGGGCAGGGACCCCAGTGTCCAGACCTCAGGCCTGAGCTTACCCACCCTACCTCCTCCTCCCCCTGCACAGCCCCCCACACAAGGCAGGTTGGGCAGGGACCCCCGTGTCCAGACCCCAGGAAACCCCTCAGAGCTCCCGACACAGGAACCAAGAACCCCACCCACCCAGCTTTGGACAGGCCCGGTCTACAAACCACCCCACCCATACCACAAAGGCACACCTCACACCACCTCACACATACCTCCCACCGGACCTAGCAGCCACAC